TTTCTTTCGGTCTATGATTGGTTGGCCGTGTTCTTGTATGGTGTAGAAAGTGTGTGTGTGTGTGTGTGTGTGTGTGTCTGTGTCTGTGTTTTTTTTACAGGAGATTGAATCGACATATCTATGTACCAGATGAAATGTGGCTCGATAATTTCGTGATAAGTCGTCTGGATTTGTTTCGGATAATAAGATGCTCGGATGTTTTAAGAATGAAGCTCATTTTGGTGTTGATTTGAGAAAATTTTGTTCCTTTTAAGCTTTTTGAAGCTTTGTGACTTGCTGAAATTCTGAAATGCTCTTACCGTGTATCATATATATATTTCAAACAATGTAGAAATGCTTGGAGAAATTGAAAAGTTTTGAGCTTTATGCCAAGCTAACATTTCACATTTTTTTTTTTTTTTTGCAATTTACACACCTTTATTAGATATTTTTATAATTATTCTACAATTTACACTATTATTACCTGTAATTTGACGGTTGCATTTAAAATTTGAGAATTTGTGTAAAATTTAGGTACTGAATTATATATTTGAATTAAGTTGGGGGTGCTTTTATTGAAATTTCACATAAGTTACGTACCATTAAATAAAAAATCAACAAACGCAACTTCTGTTTCCTTCAAGCTTCTTCCTCGTTCCCCAAAAACCAACCGGAGGTGAACACCAATGTCGGTTCACGGCCATAGATTTCTGTTAAGAAACGGCGTCGTTCTGCCGTCAGCGGACACTCCTCCAGTCGCGGCTTTTCTTGAAGCTCACTCAGGTAGTTTCCGCAAACTCTCTGTGTCTCTCTATCAGAAAATGTTCCTTCGTCTTTGATTCTTACACGAACTGCAAGCAATGAAGCAGAAAGAACAAATTAAAGAGAAAAAAAACGATTAGGGTTTTTAAAAAAATATTCAATTGGGTAGATGTGCTGATTAGCTTTTGATATTCAGGTGCATACACGACCACTCGTACCCACAACAACGGCTCAAAAATCCTATTTTGGGAAAGGCATCTACTCAGGCTATCTAATTCCTTCATGTTATTGTTAAAAGACAACCCCGAATTTGTTCTCCGTGATCACGAGAACCTCGCGCTCCAATATTGGGAGCTTTCGAGCCGAAAAATGATGTGGGACTCGTTGATTAGGTGTTTAGTCAATGATTCTATGGGAAAAATGATGTCTTTTGCTTCGAGTGAGAGAAAATCTGGGGAAGAATTGGCAGTCACGACTCTTTTGTGTGTGAATACGCAGAATTTGCAACTTTTGGACGGTGATTATAGTGAGGGAGATATTTCTGAGGTATTGGATGTCTATTTACATGTAGGCGGATATGTTCCTCCGGTTTTTGGTGTGTTAGAGAATGCGGCTCGTCTGGCAGTGGTTGGCCGCGGAAGGAATTTTGCAGGCGCAAAGTATTCAGAATGGGTCAGGTGAAAATTGCTATGGTAATTTGAGATTTTTCTGTTATTTACTAGAGTCGAATAGTTTTTGTTGATTAATGAATATAATAGTTTGTTGGAACTTTGTCATTTGGCATTCTGTTTGTTCATTAGTGGTTGATCCTTTTGCATTTGAGCATTTTCATGGTCGCATTTATTATGCTTTATTTTTATTTTTCGTTTTGTACCCTTTTTTTTCCACTGTAATTGATGTTTTTTTACTTTAGGCAGGCTAAGGAAGCATTTGGAGAAACTGAGACCACCTTCCGTCACCGAACTATTGTTATCGAATGATGGTGATCGGATTTTGGAAGGCAGTTTGACAAACTTTTTTGTTGTCTGTCTCAAGGTGAGGGATATATACCTTTCGGAAAGAGTATCTGTTAAATATTTGATATTTTGGGTTGATTTACGAGTTTTAACTGACGCTGGACGAGACTACTCTAGTCACCATTTTTTGTACTTTGCTGATGACAAACGTGCTCGATCTGTAAACTGTTTTCTGTAGATAATCAAGAGTGTCAATATTCTTATGAACTTACTTACAGGTATGAGGTATAAACGAGGAGTTATATCAACTTTGCGAGATCTTCTCGCACAAATTCGCGTATTTATGACCAGATCAAGTTAATTCTTATACAGTTTAGTATCGTCTGATTTCTTCTTCCGGCCTCTTTTATCTGAAATGGGACTTGTACGCATTATTTAGTTCCTAATTTGTTTGAGTTTTGTAGTCACATGTTCAAAGACAACTTTTCATGCCTAGTGTCGAATCTTGCTTCCAATTTTCATTTGATAACTTCTAAATTCAATTTTCAGATCAATAGTCGTTCTCGTTCGGTTAAAAGCTACTTGGGTCATGGATTCTTTGAGCATGTTAGTTTTAATCTTGCATATACCTGTTAACTTTATTTACCATTCATTTGTTATATTCGTAGGAAAAACATAGAGATGGTAAAAATGAATATTTAAGAAGCATTGAAGTCCAGACGGCTCCCTTGAGTGAGGGTGTCCTTCCTGGAGTTCTACGAGAAGTAATTACAGAGTAAGGATATTTCTTCTTCTCAAATGTATGCTGTATTAGCGCACATCCTTCTTAAGTATCCCTTCAGCAAACATTAAGTTATTACCATTTTTAACATGTGCAGCATATGTTTGAAAACTGGAATCCCTTTCCGAGAAGTTTCCCCATCATGGTCAGATCGTGAATTGTGGACTGAAGCATTCGTCACGAGTAAGTTTGCTCATTCATAAAAAAGTGTCGCGCCATTTGCATTTTTCATGTTTGTTCGTTGTTTAATTTGGCTTTTTCTTACTTATCAGCTCAGTAGTTTTTTTCTGGTACAACTAGATGAATGAGTTGAGGATGATTGCATCAACCCAAGTCCTTTCTTTTCTTTTTCTTTCTTTCATTTTTCTTTTTTTTTTTTTGTTTTTTTCTGTCCAAAAGCATTGCATATGTTCTAGGTTCGAGTCTAATCTTTTGTTTTTCATGAGACAGATAGTCTTAGGATTTTACAACACGTGGAGTCAATCCGAGCTCCTAATGTGTGGAAATGTATAGAATCAAAGACTTGGGAGGAGATAACATGGGTCGAGAAAAAATTTGAGGTGTCTGAGCTTTTTTTTTTTCAATTATTATTTTTATTTTCCCCTTTATAACTCCAGTGAATGAAGAGATATCTAATCTTTTTACCGTTGATGCTGTTTTCTGTTCTTTCTCTCAGGGTGGCCCAGGGAAGATTACAACAATGTTGCAGGTGAACTGATATATATATATATATATATATATATATATTTGTGCCTCTTAATCCTTATTTTTGTGCTTTGGTTTTGGTTTTTCCTTTATTTTCTATATTTATTTTTTTTTAAGTGAAGTTCCCATTTCTAGCAATCTCAAGGCAATGTGATTGTAAGTGATGAGTGACACGCGTTTGGAGTTTCAGTATGAACCTTCATTCTTTGTTTATTGTTTGTCGATATCTTGATTCTTCGGTCTTGGTTCAATTATGTTTTAAACCGTCTCCTTTGTAAATATCATTTTACGTGAATGAAAGAAAAAACAAAAAAAATATCTCGACCCATTTTCAAACCCGAACTAAGTGAATTTCTGATGATTTGATTCCAACACATCTGAACTTCACCGTAAGTTCATATCAATTGTTTTGTTGTTTATTTATTTATTTTTTGCAGAAGGAGGTTTTACGAAAAGCGGAGAGTGAAGCATTTTCAATTTCCTCATTTTGAGAAAAGCCGAACAATCGTGTGATACGCCAGATTTAGAAGGCATCAAGAAAATATCATAGGTTGTGATTTGGTTTTGTGTCTGATTCTTGTGGTTGATCGATCTCAATTCAAACGATATAGAATGTGCAATTGTGATGATATTACCCTATTGTTTACTCGAGCTTTCTCACCGTTAGATCACACACTCACATTTGTTTCCAAGATTATTGAGGTAAAATCAATAGAAAAAATAGTATTTATGAAGATAAAACGGCATTACTGTAAGTTAATCCAAGAAAAAAAAAAGGTAAATTTAATTGTGTCGAGAAATGATTAAGCATCGCATGGTCATGTGTTATGGTGTTAACTGCTAAGCATCACATGGTTAACCACGCATGATTCTTAAAAGTTTGAGCTCGATTTGTTCGTTTATTTCTATAAATGATTCGCAAACAACTAATCATACCTTTTTTTTTTGTACAAATCAAACCCGTTTAATTTGAACAAATCAACTCAATTTGTTCGATTATTGCCATAAATGATGCCCAAACAACTAATAAAATCCATTTACTATGAACGATATGTTTATTTTCTTTTAAGTTTCAAACAAATAGCCAAGTTAAACGAGCGAGTTGGCAAACACAGAAACTGATCATGCATAACTCATTTACGATTTTGAATTTGTGAAATAAAGTGACCTAAATTTTCATGAGTTTAATCGACCCAAGCTCGATTCGAAGCCCGACGTTGACTTGTGTTAGACTACGTTTTGTAAAATTAACTAATAACTAACTTATAGCTCATCAGCAGTTTTTGAGCTTATAGCTCATAACTTATGACTTATAGCTGAAAAACTAGTTTATATGATAAAAGTGTTTGATAAAATTAGCTGATAAGATAGCTGAAATAAAAAATTCAACTAGCTTATTTGAAAAGTTATTTAGAAAAGCTTATCAAATAAGCCCGAGTTTTTTCATAAAAGTTGACCTATCAAACGAGTCTTATTTGAATACAAAGAGTTTATAAGCTAATTCAGATGGTGCCCATAATGGTTCCTCAGGTATGGCCTCTGTGGGTGGGCTACTTCGTGACTCTAATGGCATATGGCTTGGTGGTTTTGTGATGAATATTGGAGAATGCTCTATTATGGGGGTAGAATTATGGGGTTTGTTTCAGGGCCTTACTTTGGCTTTGCACTTGGGGTACCGCCGGATAGAGGCTGAGGTCGATAATTCAAGCATTGTGGGATTTTCCAAGAATACTGATGACATAGCAGGTGTCCATTATGGCTTAGTCCTAGGGATACGTGAGCTTCTCAGTCGAGATTGGCAGGTGTAGATTTCCTACATTTTTCGTGAGGCCAATTTTGTTGCAGACTATTTAGCAGCCTTGGTGGCTTCTGCAGCTCTTGGGTGCCATCCACTCCCTACTTTGCCTCCGGGTGTAGTTCCATGGATCGAGCACGATATGAGGGGTGTCTCTTACACCCGAAACGTTTGCCTCCCATAGTTTTTGATCAATAGCTTGCTTTGTACCAAAAAAAATAAATAAATAAATAAATTATAAAATAACTTATTTATCTAGCAAAACGTAGCCTTAAACGATCACGAGTTCAAATATTTAAATGAAAATCACAATTTTGAATAATAACCTTGAGTCTGTCGCCTGGCTTAGACACACTGAGAAGAAATTGAAAAGAAAAAAGAAAAAAAAAATGGGGTCATCGTTTCAAGGTGCGAACATGACAGCAAAGGGGGTTTACAGAAGGCTTCTGAAAGCGGTGAGGAAACATGTCGGAAAAGACGAACACAAAGCCCATTTCACAGATTTCGTCAAGCAAGAATTCAGAAGGAATATTGACTCTGAAAACCCGACTAATCTCAAGCTCGCTCATGATTACACTTTCTATCTTAACAGCGTCCACCATCACAAGGTGCTCCTTTCTTTTTCAGAGTTTATCTTATTACCATTTATTTTGTGCACTCAAGGTGTTCGATGCTTTGTCTCTGTTAATATTTCCATATGCATTTTGGTTTCTTGGTTCTTTGCTTGCATGTCGAAAATGAAAAAAAATGAATGGAAAATATTCAAAATAATGACATCTTTGCTAAAATGCAAAGCACCCTTTTACTTATTTGTTATATTTGTGATAATGTACTGTCATTTCTCACTTTTATGTCCAAGTTAGATGCAGAGATTCTTGTTGAAAGGTGGTCCTTAGTATTTGTTAATCGATTTTGTTTCATGTAATCATTGTCTGAAGAAGTTATGGAATATGGGATCAGAGTTTGGGTAATGTTGGCTTTGATCTCAAGTACCCTTACGAATCAATGATCAATCCATTTTGCTTTTTAGCTAAAACTTTCTATCTAATCAGGGCTGTGAAATAAATAAGAGCCCCTAGTGTATACTGTGGTTTAATCGATAGGTTATTAAATCATACTGATGATAGCAAAGTGTTCATCTTGGGGTTAAATGACGCCAGTTAACAGTTTGTTAAGCTGATGATCGACTTCTATTTTCTGCAGCGAGTAATTTGCTGCTTGTCTTGACTTGCCTACTGTTATTGAGTCTTGTTGTATATCAACAAGTATACAATTTTATGTGCTAGGTGTTTGGATTTGTAATGTCCCACTTTGTTATTTACATACTCAGAGAACTTTCTTAAAAGTGGTCGAATCTCATTTATGCATAGTTTACCAAGGTTGTTGAAAAAAAAAAAAAAAAACTGCTTGCTTTCCAATTGTTATCCATAAAGAAGAGCCCAGGAGTGTGTCTTTTATTGACGTTCTCCATGAGAAAAAATATTCCTTGTATCGATTGTTACTGTTAATATTTGAAGAGCTCTCTCCCTTGTATCGATTTGTTCTGGACCCTATGATAAAGAGTCTATCGTCCTTCATGTCTTTACTGCACCTCACTTGACTTTCTGTGTTACGACTGTTGTTTTCTCTACCTCTCATGTTTCTATAGATTTTTTTTTTTTTTTTTCAATCTTATTTTGTGCAGCTACTGTGATATTATTGCATTTTTTATAGTTATCTTTAGCTTGTAACATTCATACTTTTGCATTTGAGGATATCAACATAGACATTCGTCTCATCCCTATAACGTATTTACACTTAAAAAACCCCCAAATTCTTCAACTGTTTGTTTTTCTTACAAGATAAACACACAATCTTTTTAAAATGACTTGAGAAGGTATATATAATTCATAAAAATACCGTGCTGTTATTTATTTACAATGACTTGAGGAGGCATTATAATTCCTTTAGATACTAAACATCAAGGAAAGTTCTATTATTTCCTGTCTTAACCAAGTATTATTCGTATACAACTTACTAAATTTCACGACATGTACATACAGGAGCTGCTTTTCTCTTACAATATTGCGGTGGATAGGTCTGACGAAATGAAAAAAGTGCTCGGAAAATCTGCTGCTAGTGTGGGCCTCCAGCTTCCTGATGTCTATCAGCCCTGATAAGAGGTTCATATGGAAAATTCGGTCTGATCAATTATGTGCCTATGTTTCCACAGCTGGATTATCTTATCTTTCAATTCATCAAACATGCACTTGAATGTTGTTGAGAAAGAATACAATTGCTCTAGTTTAGCTTAAAAGTTGGAATCTCTCCATGGACAGCATCAATAGATAGGGGAATAGTTTGAAAACCATTATTTTTCCCCTCTTTCATTAGCATATCTGTGTCTGTATAAAGAGTTGTTTGCGATTGCAAACACTTCTTAAAGACTGCGATTGTCAGGTTTTTTGTTGGAAAATGTCCGTTTCAGTTTTCGATTCAACAACTAAAATGTGCAATGTAGTCTTGAAATTTTAATGGGTCTTGAGTACTGATTTTTGCCTCAAGAGTCTTTCCACTGAACAAGATTTGCTTCATTTATATTTCAAGTTTCTAGACTTGCAAAAGGGTGCTGGAAACGAGTGAGATTAGAATTTGCTCGCCTCAAATAGAAATTGTACATGACAAATGATAGCAAGTAGAACAAAACCAGAGTCTGAAAACAAAATTAAAGCGGTTCATAAGGACAAAACTGCTGACTCTTTACATGACATGAACTACACATAGGAAAACTTATATATTCTCCTTGTCTTGTCTTGTCTTGTCTTGTCTTGAGAGGCCTGTAAGATCACTCATTGAATGAGAAGATGGTATTGTTCTTCTTCACGAAATCATGGGTAGTGTGATCCACCACCTGCGCATGGATAAAAAACATGTGGATAATCTCAAGGGATACATACGAAAGCTACCCCAAGATTTGTGGTATTCACAAAGGACAGATCTCGAAATTAAAGAAACTACATTCGAGGTATTGTGCAACCATTTTCTGGCCTGACCCAATTCGCCAACATTCTCAGATTTTTAAAACCCAAACCCCAAGATCAACGAAAACTATAAGCCAGAAAATAAGAGGGGGCACTTACATTTGTATTACTCAGCTCTAGATTATAAAAATCCATCTCTTTCTCAAGAAACAAGGGCCCTGCATGCCATGTACCCCGATTCAGCTTCACAAACTTGGAACCCGAAATCTTGAACACACGAACCCCATCAACTTCTGGTGGGGCATAGAAATGCCCACAATGGGACTGCTCGAGATTTGCTCCGAGAGTTCCATTAACTTCAGTTGGTTCTACAATCGATGGTTTCGCTACCCCAAGATACCAAATGTGGCCGCCTATAGAACCTAAGCATTGGGTTACATTTGCGTGGTGAGTAATCGTCTCGAATCTGAGAGGCCTGTCCTTTAGATGCATGATGTAAAACCTGATGTGGTAATGTACCTAAGTTAGCAAATCTCATTTTGCTCGAACGAGATATTTGCCTTTTGTAGGCTAAAAAGTAACATAGACAGAAAATTTACCCATAATACGGACCAAGATTCGATTTTCTACAAAGTTTAGCTAGCAATGCTTAAAAGATTAGCTTGAAATACATCCACACAGAACTAAGCACTTCAATAAGTGTGTGCGTGTGTGTGTGTGCGCGTGTGGGAGAGAGAGAGAGAGAGAGAGAGAGAGAGAGAGAGAGAGAGAGAGAGAGAGAGAGAGAGAGACCTAGGAATTCCGCCGGAAAGGTCGAGCTGCGCGTCCTGGGGCCCAAACTCATCGCCGTCCGGCAAGGTCTCCACCACCTGTCCAAATTCTCGGAAGCTCTCCGGGGTTGCCTCAATCGGCTTCAATCTGACCACCTCCGGAGAAGGATCCGACTTTATCTCGCCGGAAGTTTCCGTCGCCATCTGAAAACGGGACGCGGATGACGAGTATACCAGGGATTTGTCGTGCTCGATCGAGCTAGCAATTAGGCGAGTACGTGAAAATGAAAGGGATAAAACTGTGTGCGGGAAGAAAGAGATGAATCTTGGGCTTAAGCTCGGAAGAATTATGGCGTTGGGAATATGTGAGGCGGATGTGGATTTCAGGTTTTTTTATCCCCTTCATGAGCCAATCTCTTCATATTTGTAACATAATTGGTTTTATATATGATAACCTTAGAATCATTGATAGTACAACTACTTTATTGTTATAAAACTATAAAGAAAGAGAGAGAATAGAGAAAATATTTCTCTTAGGTACGATTTTCATTATAACTGAAGCTCCTATTTATAGGAAACTTCTGATGGCACAACCGTAATAATACAATTACATCAGGGACAAAATAGTCATTCACATACATTATTATATAATACATATTTCACAACACTCCCCCTTGAATGACTATTTCTAAATATATTGTAACTGATTAGAACAAAGTCCAATTTGCATATCTTCAAGTATATCTTGTGGCCATCAGGTACCATTGCTTCAGTATGTCAGGAAAACCCGGTGGGACAAAACCTGATCATCTTAAAATCATAACATTGCTTCCTCAGGAAAACCCTGTGGGACAAAACCTGAGCATTGTGGTATCATAACATTGCTCCCCCTCAAATAGATCATCTTTAATGGAGTATCCACGTGCTGCCTCGTTAAAACCTTGTCAAGAAAACCGAGTGGGAAAAAACTTGATCGAAGGAAAAAGAGTACAACTACTCCAGTCTTTTCTCATCATCATGATGAATCATATCAATTATCCAGTAGTCCTCATTATACCATGAATGTGCCTCGTTAAAACCTTATTAGGAAAAACCCAGTGGGACAAAATCCTAATGAAAGAAAAAGAGTACACTATTCATGTGAATAAGTCATCCCTGTTGCCTCATTAAAAACCTTGCTAGGAAAAACCCAATGGGACAAAACCTTAGCCAAGGGAAAAAGAGTACAACGCGTATTCCATATATTCACCATAATAACTTTGCCATAATTTTTATGAATATCATATAGATTCATTAAGATTTTCAGATACTGGTGGTATTTATGATAATATGTCCTATCATGCTTTTGTGCAACTTTCATTCTTAAACTCATTCTTATCATCAATCGATTTCAATGGTCTTACTGCCAATAGTTTCCAATATTCACATTTCAGTTGATTTCATTCTCATCAATATCATTTATATAGCGCTATTCATTTGTTTGTGTCGACACATATTCATTTCCATTATTCCCCGTAATATATTGAGATATCTCATTATCAATTAATTTCATCGATAGTATATATATGCCTCCTTTCATCACTTATTTGGGGAATTTCAATTTGCACAATACCAACGCTTCCAGCGTATCTTTCCATCATCATATTATTTTATATATTTAACCACCATCAGTATCATTCAGTTTATGATTTGCACACTTTCAGTGTGATGCATATATCATTTTCAAAATTTCAATAATTGATTCTCCCCCTCATCTTAACAG